AATCAGCGAAGTTCTGCAACTCGCCCCACTCAGCTCCAGGTCATCCTATGGTCCGTTTCATTCTTCTATGAACCAAGTCTAATGTCTTTGTGCTTTAGTGGTAGACGGTTCTTGTTGTAACGTGCCCTGTCTACATGAGTTCTTCACTAAGAAAATGACATTGCGGACTCTTGTTTGTCTTCTTACCTGTTCATTCGATTTTCAATCATTTCTTGCTATTCCCAGCACGCATCTTTCCATGCTGATCTGTGTATTCTGCAGCTGATGAATAGCATTCGTGCTTAGGGCACTCGTTTATCATCTATAGGTTGGCGATGGGTGTAAGTTTCTACTTCAAGCGCAAGGACACTTGCTTGGATGGGAATATGTTCAGTCTTCCGGAACTGCTCCATGCCATTTCGGTTATTCTGTTGATATCACGTAGTCGGTTCTCCGTTGCAGACATGAGTTGTCCCCGATGGACGTCGTTTTGCACCTCCTCAAGCCTAAGTCCATTCACCTGAACTGGTGGCGGGTCACGAATAGACGAAACATGCATGACCCGAGTCATTTAGATATTGAGTTTCAGTCATATTCTGGTGCATGCGCTGTTCAGCTCTAGGATGCTTCGTTGGAGGTTTCCTGGTGACCTCAAGAGAGTCTCAATATTGTCCGCAAACCGCAGGTGGCCTATGCAGTATCGATTCATTTCAGTGAATTCTCTGAACGACGCATCTTGAAAATCTGTTCTTGCACTGCTATGGAAACTTCAGTGATATCGTGGCTCCTTGTTCGACGTCCTTTTCGGGATTGAACTTGCACGTGCCTTCGAGAAATTTCATGCTGACAGTTTTGTTCTTGTACATCACAGCGATGAGGTACATGCACCATTTTTATTTCCTTGACATTTCAAGGAACCCAGTGCCGACTTGGAGGAAGCTGATATTTTTGCCTGTACGAATTACTTGCCTTGCTATTTGGAGAAGAGCCATTGTGATGAATCCAGTTTCGAGTCCCGCCAGCTCCTTTGGCTTGCAGGATCCAGTTTTTCTGAAGTCTCTTTCATGAAGATTCTGTGGATGATTGGCAACAAACCGATCGGCCTGCAGTTTTTCAGATACTCTTTGTCTCTTTCTTCGTAAGGTAGGACCACCGATACAGTAGTTCTGTCCTTGAAATTTGAAATTCTTTCAGACAGCATGAAAACAAGCGTTCTAATATCTTCTTCAGTGTCTCACCTCTTGATTCCACGAACTCCATCCTAACGTTGTCTTCGTCCCTTTGCCTGGTTTATTGCAAGTCGCACTTCTTCTGGAAAGAAGTCCGGAATTTCCTGAACTTCATTTCTTCGTTCATGTTTCTTATCGTTCTCTCTGGTGTTGTTGTGTTCATCTTAGTGGGGCTTCCTGTAGAAATTTATCACTCACTTTAGAGTCACTGTTTGTCCATAATGACAGTCCAGTGTTGTTGCGCTTTGATAGCTACAATGTCTAGTTTTCCGAACTTTTTTCATAGACTGAATTTCCTCATTCATAGGTTGCCTTCGTTAGTTTTCTTTGACAATCTGTAGCTGAATGCTCAGACGTCTTTTTCTCCAATTCCTTAAGGTTCTACAAAGTTCCACATTTAATTATTGACGTACTGCTCTCTTCCTTTCATTCGCTTCTTCACGAGTTCCTTCGATCATGACAACACTTGGCTGTTTTAAATGCTCATATTTAAAGTTATATGATTATATGATTCTTTGAGGCCACTCTGTACTTGATGAAATACTCATTCCGCTTCATCTAAAAATCAGTCTCTGCAAATTCGACCATAGATAAGTTTTCATAGGTGATCAAGTTCGTCATCTCTGAATAATATATAAGCGATAATATATGCTGCACTACACAGAGAAAG